AGAAGCGATGGCAGAAAGAAATCAATTCTTTGTGTCTGGAGGGCCCTTCCATCTGAAGTTGTCTGCATACGCCTTGGGCTAGAGAAACAGGAAAACAATCAGCTGGCACCGGAAACTGAAGCTATTTAAGTTTTCAAAAACCAAATTAAGAGAACTATTAAGCTCCTGTGAAGGCAGAAGCAGCAACAATGTATTGCATCTAATCAAAGTCATAAAGAATTATGCTCGTCTATGCATTGACCTATGTACTTGTAGGACACTAAATTACACTTTAGGCTATAGAAATGACGAGCATGGAGAAGGTGGAAGGGTGAAAGAACCTGCATAAGATGCAATTCAATGCTTTTGACTAGTCAAACCAACACTTGATAACAAACATGTATCTAAATATGCTGATAAGGAGGTTATTCCCATATTATTGCCTTTATTTTTTTTTTTTGGGAGGCGGGGGGTTTTCGAAGGAAGTTCATGGAGCGGGAGCTACCCTTGATGAGATATTTGTTAAATACAGGAACTATAATGCTGCAAATGAAAAAGGCCTTTCGTTTGGTAAAAGCATGCACTACTCATCAACCAAAGATAAAGCCAGTTACTATATTTGCATCCATTAGCTCATCATGTAAAGATATCATTCAGGTAAGCAGAAGTTTCACACCTTTAGCAATGGTTTATGACGCTTCTTAACCTGCAAATAAGAAGTCACGGAAACACAAAACATCAGACTACTAGCGAATTGACAGTTGACACCCAATATTGCAGAACAAAAAGGCTAAAAAGTAATGCCAGGAACTATTCAATTGTCCTGTAGTTCTGACTACCTTGTATATATCACATATCACCACTTTACAGATCCAATTAATCACTCAATTCTCTGAAACCTCAAACACAACATTTAAAAATCTAACTGCCTTTATTTTTCAAAACAGTTGTTACTTCTTAACACAATTTACTAGGAAAAGGTATAGACCATCATAAAAAGAGAGGGTTGTCCACATACCGTGTAATCCCAACCATGTCTTTGAGCAAATTCTATTGCAGCTTCTTCACTATCAAAACACGAAGCAGAATCACCTACATTGGCATATGGATCCCCCGTGGATGTCCAACCCATCAGTGGATTTTCCCATCTAGATATGACAGAAACAATACAAATTTGAATAAAGATCATCTTTATCATTCATCATACTCGGGAGCCATCCATGAAGAGGAAACTGCAGTGTTTCATAAAGGGGAATCAAGATTCAATGTGCAGTGATCAGTTAGTTAGTGGCCAAAGAGGTAAGTGTTTCCCATATCATAACAGAACAAGCACCACCTTTCCACATTCAGAAAGAAGGCATTACTACGCTAATTTTGTCTGATAAATGCAATAAACAAGAAACTATACTGAAGTTAAACTAGTAATGGTGCCAATGCACTAAGAAGCATGTCATTAGCTGCAAAGCTCAAAAACTATGTGGTAACTAAGACACAAGTTCAAAAGTGTCTAATTAGTAGAAGTACAGATCATCTGATATGTATCCGAAACTCTCTCCCTCCGCAACCAAAAAACAAAAAAACAAAAAAAAAAACCTCCCTTTTTTGCCCTTTTTGGTAAAAGGCTTTTTCTTAAAAATAAACAAAATGAAGATTGTTAATTGAAGTGTCAAGGCCCAAATTTTTAATAATCAGATAGAAGTTGGTGCACTCTGTTTTAAATTGGCAAATAAACTGCAATATATTTTACTAACGTCCTAGTCAGAACTGAACAACTATAGCACTGTGAAACCAGTAAATCAACTGAAACAAAATGTGCATTAGAGGTCACGTATCTGTCAAAACTTCCTTCAAACCCCCATAACAAACAAATAGAAAGGTACAGAAAATAAAACCTACTTCTGAGTAGACACGAAGTTGATCTTCCATTTTCCAACTTTTCCTGATCCTTGCTGACTCGCAGTTCGAGCTGGTGAATAAATCAGAACCTGCCATGAAATTATTGAACGTATTCTTTAAATTTTGGACTCCCAAATGAAAATAATGCCACAAACAATTACATTTATGAAAAGATAACTACTCCTTTTTTCCCTTATGCACCTTTAAATATTTAAAATGATTATGAGTTTATATTTCATAACCCACAGCCTGCAAGATTAAACTTTTAATGCATGAAAGAAACTTAGTCATATGATATCAACTATAGCAACAATAGAAGCTCTTTAATCAGTTTATACACAAAAATAAAGAAAATATTCAGTGGTCCACTGAAATCCCTAGCTCAGATATCGATTGAATTACTTTATTTTTCATTTAAAATTACCTCCATTAACTGACTATAACTAAAAATGATTGGAGAAAAAAAAACACGTTAACAGAAAAGAGTATACCCGTCTGCGAAGATGTTCTTCGGGGATGCCAGAGACCATGCCGATTTCTCCAGGTTTGGTCTCCACCAATGCGTCTGAGGCGAATGGTCTGGACAGTGGGGTCAGGAAAGATGGATAGGCTTGACGAGATCGCCTAGCGAGGCGTAGAAGGGAGCTCGCCATTTTTCCGATGCCGGAGGTTCCTATGTGGCCGGTGCAGGGATTGGCTGAATTTTTGGTGTATCAGATCAAAATGATACGCAAGAGCAGTGAGGGCGACAAAAGGGGAATAAGTGAAATTTTTTGGGAACTTATGTTTTGCATTGCATTTTTTGTTTGCCCCAAAGCGCAATTGAAAATTATGCTCCCCAGTAGTTGTAAATTTATGTTTAGCAGCTAGTAGTGATTTGTAACTGCGTTTGCTGATTTTTAGCTTCAAGAATGCTCGAGGAATGACTAAACACTCCCGTTTGACAAATGAGTTTTCTGAATGTTTATTTAAAATTTTACTGTAATTTATTATAAAAATTGTAAAATTTTTTTTTAAAAATATGTAAATTTTTAAATATTTTGAAGTGTATAATTTAAAATTTTTGAGAAGTTTTTTTTATTACTGTAGTTAAAGTTGTTAAAAAACTTATAGCAGACAAACTTAACAAAAAACTTACTTGCCAAACAAGGCCAAACTAATTTGTTATCTTTTAAACTCTCAATTTTATTATTATAAAAATCAATTTTTACCTAATCACTTGCTCACATTTTGCCAATATAACTATTCATAATTATCCTAAATATTGTAACTGCTAAATTACTATAATCATATAAACCAAACTTCTTTCGTGAAATTTTTATATAAAATTTTTGTATGTTACAAACGAAATTTATATAAAATTAATTTATTTTAATTATTTTCTAATTACATGCACATTGAGTGTGCTCTTGAAACTAGTAGTATAATTCTTAACCATCAAAAACTTTTGGAAAAGCTTTTTTTTTTTTTTTTTGTGAAACAAGTTTAGTAACACTTTTTTTTTTATTATTGATTTCAGAACTTGATAAATGCCTTTTGTTTTATAGTTACTACAATATATTATACTACTAAGTATTACCCATAGTTGATGTTATGGTAATTTTGGGATTATTAGACTCAAAAATTGGGCTTAGGGAAATTTTGAAATTATTTTTTTTGCTTTCCATGTGTTGTTATTTTTGAAGAAGTATACTTGCAAAAATATATATCCTTTTTTTTTTACGTTTAGATGCGCCAGGACGTGGAACAATATTTGAAACAAATATTAGTTATGCATAAGCATTCATGATGATGAATTTATTGAAAACCTTATTCTCAACTGATTTTCAAGACCTGATTTTGGGTTTTAATTTTGAAAAAGTATTTAGTTGTCTTCTTAACTGTTTTTAACATTCAAATTTTGAACTTTTTAAGCTTCAAAAAATTGAAAATTAGAAGCATACATTTTTTTAACTCTAATTTTCCAAAATCAGGTTCTAGACAATGAGAAACACTTGAGAACAAGTCTAGAGTCAACGGGAGCAAAGTCGAGCCTTGGTCTTGTACTAGTTCAAATCTCATATATGAGGTTTTGATGATTCTGTGAGTTTATTTATTCGGTATATAATTGGGTTAGAGTTGTAATTTCCACTGGTTATGAGTTAATTTTTTAGTTGTGTTACTTTCACTATTGTGGTTCTCATTTTGTAATCTATTTTAAAGTTAAAAAAGTCTTAAATCTAAAAACCCATTAATTGGATCACAAAGCGTACAAGTTAGTTGACATCTTCTAATAGACACCGACATTTCGAAAGAAAGGACTACAAACCAATAAAGAAATTTTTTCTATTAAAAGAAAGAAAGGGAATTAATTGCCTGAAAAATATTACGGCAGTCAAAATGTCAAATGCAATGAAAACCGGAAATATACTACAAGTTATAATTTTAATACATTCAATCAAATTAATTATCTTTTAATGTAGATTTACATAATCCACGTGGTTGAAGCTGGGGTATCAAATACAAAAAATCAAAATTAGAGGACAATATATTGAATGTGACAATAGGGTTATTCTCTATTGATTATTTTAATTGATTATATATTTTAATTTTAGATAATCAGTTTATGTGATATTCTTGATTTTTTTTGTTTTGTATTTTGATTACAAATCTTTTATTGATTAAAAAAGGTTAAAATATATAATCACACAAATAGTAGTTTTTGCTGATTTTGCTCATTCTCTCTAATCAATTTCTATAACTAAATTTTATAAAATCTAAAGCAACCAAGAATAAAATCTAGAGTTTGTTTGGAGTGTGTTTTTGGCCATTGTTTGGATAGGAGTTTATTTGGACGATTTATTTGAGATAATTATTGTAGCATCTTTTGTAATGTGATATTTGGAAAGATAAAAAAGTGATTGAGATTTGTGATGTAAATTTTTTTTTTTTAAATTATATCTATCCAAACACACATAAAAAAGGTGATTGAGTTTTGTAAGTTAAAACTGAGGCAATATTAAATTCGAATCCTTTCATTTATATTTTAAAAAAGAAAAAGAAAGAAATAGAAACAACGGAATTGAAAAGGGGTGGACTCGAACCCCCATTAAATAATGGGGGCCAAAATTTCATTTCTTTCCCACTGAATAAAGAGAATTGCCGCAAGCCAGCGACAGCTGTTGGCTTTGGAGTTAGTACGTACGCACACACTCACTCTCCGTTTAGGGTTTCATTTTTTATGTTCTGTGCTTTTGGGTCGGTGTTAATTCCCCTGGCGGAGGAGAAAGACTGCTGTGATGGTTTAATAACGATATGAAGGAGGAGCGTTGCGTTTGATTTACCATCACTGCATTCTTTCGCAGCCCTTGGCTTTCCCGGGTATGCTAAACCAGCAACTTTCAATTTACGTACTCTTTTTCGTCTGGGCTAATCTAGAAAGCATACTGCTGCTGCTGGATGTTATTTTTTGTTAAATTATTGCTTGGTGTTGTTTTACTTTATTGCAAATTGTTATAGTGAGCGTTGGTAAGTTTTGCAACCAATAATATTTCTTCTTTGATGACACATTTGCATGTGCTTGAAGAATTGTACAATTGTTTTTTTTTTTATCTCATTGAATTGGACAGTTTTTCAACTAAACGATTTGTTTCTTCGGTAATTTCATTTATTCCTAAATTTTTTCATTTTAGGATTTTGAGCATTATAAACTCTGCTGGTTAAACAAGATAATATCTTGAATAACTTTCCAAGTTTCAGTGACATGTAAGATTAACACATGGCCCTGGATTTTTTTTATTACTATTTTTTTGTTGAGTAAAACTTTTAAGGTTTTTCGAAAGAGACATACAATCTCATAATTAACTATTGAGAAGCGTAGGGACTGGCCACAGCTTAACTACTTGTGCCGTTCCTGAAGGTACTGGGGTTCATGAACTATCTACTACATTTGAATTAAGTTGCTTTCCGTATCATCAGTTTTGTATTCTTAAAATGTTTTAACTCCATCAATTTCATGGATAACGATTTTCAAATCTCATCTTTTATTCATTTCTGATGATTTAACTGCTTCTTAAGGTAGCTTAGTCTCTCCTTCAGTATAATTTACAGTATGATGTAGCCATGTGTGGTGCAATTCTCTGTAATTTACAGAAGTATCTTGGATACCTGATTGATGGGTGCCCCTAAGCAGAAGTGGACTCCAGAAGAAGAAGCAGCCCTTAAAGCTGGCATTGCAAAGTATGGTGTAGGCAAATGGAGTACAATTCTTAAAGATCCGGAGTTCAGTGCAGTCTTGCGCTCACGCTCAAATGTGGATCTTAAGGTACATATGTTGAGCATTTTGTCTGTATTCTCTTTTATTCATTGACAGAAGTTTAATATCTAAATGTAGTTGCTTGGTAAGCTAAATATCAGTTATACTGATTTTGCTAATGCATCATTGTGCTTTGTGATTCCTGCAATCTTGCTTCTCTGACACGTTGGTGGAAGGTGCTGATTTTAAGGCTTTGGACTTGACAGGATAAGTGGAGAAACATAAATGTGATGGCCAATGGGTGGGGCTCTCGGCAGAGAGGTAGGCCTGGATATAAAATTGCTCAGCAGACTGCCAAGCTTGAGGATATTACTAGGGACCTTAGCCCTGTGGTTACTAATGTTCCAGAACTTGTTGATGCTGAACCTCTTTCAGTAATCAGTGTAAAAGAGCCAAACTCCAGCTCCAAAACGCCAATTTCAAGGTTATATGACTATTTGTACATTGGACTGGGCTTAGTTCGTGTGATACGTTGAAGTCATACCAGAGATAACTCTTGTTTTTGACATCCTTCCCGGAGAACTCCTGTGAATAGAATGCATAATTATGCCATAACTCTTGCAAATTATGTTCTCATTGTTGTGGATCTAACTGTTTTGAGGTTATATGCATGTGCCATCAACATCTTTATCAAAAGCTCCATGGTTACTAAGAGATCTTTGCATTTAGTCTTTTCCTTAATTTTTTTTGGGAATGGATTTTGTCCAGCTTATGCATTATGTCTCTTGGGCAGGAGATGGCTGAACTAAATTTGCTTGTTTCACGTTTGTAGTTAATCAATCTGCTACAGTGGATTAGAAAGTTTGTCCAGTTATTCTTGATTTGACTTGATGCAGAAGTTCTGAACTGGATTTGGTATTGATTTCAATATAAAGATGATTAAATTGGATTAAAAACTAAAGTTTGTTATGATCTAAAAGGTTGGAAGGAAAAAATTTCGAATATACAATGACACAGCTTGGATGATCTTTGTATTGGAGGGAATTCAATAAAGAAATTCTGTGCTTAATTTCCTTCTTGTTTTTGTTTTTTCCTTTTCTCAAATTGATGTCTTTACTGATCAAATTGTTGACTTGAATTTAAATTGACACAGGTTGGATGATCTTATATTGGAGGCTATTGCAAAGTTGAAGGAACCCCGTGGTTCTAACCGGGCTGCAATTTCTCTGTACATAGAGGTTATATTAATGAAGAATACTGGTCTTTAGGAAAAGTCCTTGGGTAGCAGCATTTCTGATTTTCCCATGGTTATAAATTTTGAGGGTGTTAAGGTTGTTTTAGCTGTATAATTAAAAATGGCATCTGAGTATTACATGGAAATGTTGCTGTTTCCTTTTAGAGTTTCTCTAACTTTATGGTTGTTGATCTTCACTTGATTTTTTTAGTATTACATGGAAATGTTGCTGTTTCCTTTTAGAATTTCTCTAACTTCATGGTTGTTGATCTTCACTTGATTTTTTTAGTATTACATGGAAATGTTGCTGTTTCCTTTTAGAATTTCTCTAACTTTATGGTTGTTGATCTTCACTTGATTTTGTTTTTGATTTCTCATGGAAATATACAGTATCTGCTCGTTTAAAAGTGCCATCACTTCATGGATGATGATCTTGGACTTGAAAGTGCCATCAGTTAATGGATGATAATATTGCTTTATGAATCATGTTTCCTTTGGTTTGTGGAAGTTATTCTTCTGCCAATTCATAGTTTTTCATGGATCACTGCCATCTTATACTTTTGCTTGGGAGAGCTATGCAATTTGTATTGCATCTTTGGTTCATGTACTGGATATGTACTAGTAAACCAAGTCCCTTTCAATTTTAACACATTTGGGTTTGAAATACTGGACAGAAAAGCATTTCACAGGGTGTTATGAAATATATGTGCTACATTCTAGTTCTGCCGTTTATCTCATTCAATCTGAATGTTGACATTATTGCTTTTCTTCTCTGCAGGAGCGTTACTTGACTCCTCCAAATTTTGAGAGACTGTTAGCTGCAAACTTGAAGCTTCTGACAGAAAAAGGGCGACTGATTAAGGTAACCCATGTTGCCTGTGGAGCAATATTCCATGGACAGCTTTTGGCTATAAATTAAAAATTCTTTGCTTTTAATCCATTCATGTGGTTTGAGATCATTGAATCGATGTTGAATTGATAGGTAAAGCATCAGTACAGGATTGCTCCAACTTCAGCCACTATTGATTTAGGGATAGACCCTCCTCCTTTGCTTTTGGAGGTAGTGCAAAAGGACTCTTCAAACGGAGAGAAGAAAGGAACCAAAGTTCTGACTAAAGCTCAGATTGATGCTGAGCTGGAGAGGTTGAGGAGCATGACAGCAGCGGAGGCTGCTGCAGCTGCTGCACAAGCAGTTGCAGAAGCAGAAGCTGCAATAGCAGAGGCTGAGGTGGCTGCAAGGGAAGCTGAAGAGGCAGAAGCAGAGGCAGAAGCAGCACAGTGTTTTGCTGAAGCAGCATTGAAGGCATTGAAATGTAGAACTGTTCTTGTCTGGTAAACTCAATGCCAAAAAGTCATACATTGTTCTGCCTTTTGTCATACCTGTGTTATTTTAGCTGGAAGATGAATTGGGCATTAAATGGTGGTTTAGCTGTACCCTGGCATTCCTATTTTAGCTGTACAATTTCTGTTAATTTCAAGTTTTGGTTGGCACTGTGTCCTAATAGTTGTACCTGTGCTGAGATGGGTGCTTAACCATAATGCTGTCTGGAGCTAGTTGAAGGGGTTTTTATTCATTTTCTGATGTATTCGCTGATTCAATGTCCTTGATCTTTTGCCCCTGCGTAATGACTAGGGGTAGGATGTTGCTCTTGTGATCACGTGCTATATGCATATGAGGTTCACTCATAGCTAAAGGCATAGGCCTTTCCCCCACATTTCTTAGATTATTGTGCTGCAGAGCAGGCTAAATGCTAACTGAAGACCACTGAGTAAATAGCTAAATGCGTTCTAAGTATAAGCAGTCAAGGGTGTCAAATTCCTGTTCATATATACAGTTCAACCATCAAACACCTTCACTTAGTCTGACATGACTATTCATGTAGCCTTTCGGCATTTGCCATGTGTTCCTGTGCATGTTGGGTGTTGTCTTAAATTGTTTTGTTTTCTTGTTTTCTAAACTATCTGCACTCTTTCATAAATGTCCAGCCTTCTGATTGATGATGTATCCTTTTTTACTCCATTGGAAATCAATTTGCATAAAAAGGAAAGCTTATTGAATTTAGTTCGGGCTATGGTTGTTTTTGAGTGAAGAACCTTGTTCATAAGTAGAAGCTGCATTGTACATTACGTTTCTCTTATCAATTTTGTCAAATAGACAGAAACTTGCTTTGCTGAACTAATTGCAGTTTTCCTCTTGCAGATTGTCTCGCCCTTTGATCGTTGGAACTCAGCCATGCCCTGACAATGGTTACTCCCTTCTTGCCCCCTCTTCTGCAAGCATGTTAATAATTGTAGATATAGCTAGTTTTGTAAATCTGAAGGGGGTTTTTGTCCATAGTGTTTGGATTATTATTAGCTTCTCTTTGATAGATTTTACAATGAAAATGGAAGGAGAGAGTTTAAATATAGTTTCAGATGCTTAACTGGAAATATGAGCAACGGACATTGTGGCCCTTCATTGAAGCGAAGCACTGCATCTTTTATGTCTCTGAGCCACATGCTTATGTTCTTTTCATTTGGGTACGCTGAATTGTAGTTTCGTGTTCTTAGCATGGTTCGAAGTCTCGGCCGAGACCGAGATGATTCGGCCGAGTCGTCACCGTCTCGGCCCCTACCGATACGATACCGTGACGAAACGATACTGAGATACTTGACTCGCCGAGAAATCGGTCGAGACGCCACCGCGACGGATTGATTCGGCCGAGTCACATCGAGTCATTCCGAATTATTCCGAGAAATCAGTCGGGTTATACCGTGACAGATTGATTTGGTCATTTTTTTGCTAATTTTTATTATTTTTGTTTAGCGTAATTTTTTTATATTATTAACAATTTTTAGAATATTAAATACTTTAAAATTTGTGTCTCACCGAGACCGAGACCGATGTGGAACGTTCCGGGCCGCGACCGTGATCGCGATCACGATTTTGAACCATGGTTCTTAGTCCACCTCTATGCATCTTCCTCCTTGTTCAGGAGGGTTTCCTGGCCGCACTCTCTGCTGGTTACATCCCTTGGCGCCCAATGTATGCGCTACCCACCGTCTAAGATTAAGGGGTGCCAAATTGCACGAGGCTAATTTCTCTCAAATGTCAATTAGCTCTAACAAAAGGAACTCAAAAAGGATAATGTACGAGGAAAGAAAGATGCGTCTACCTCATGACCCGTAACATGTAGGCAGACTTGAAAGTGATTAAAATTTACCGAACTCCTGTACGAATTTAAGATTCTTCTTTTTACTACTTTCACGGAACTAAAATCAGATCTTACTTCATAGATTAGTAGTGGACATGGATTAGCTAAGTTTGTCATGCATTTGTGTTGTCATTGGCATATATCTTGAGAAATAAAACAGGTCCATCTACGAATTGCCGAGTCCAAGTCCATTCAAAAGTCAATGTTGAACCGAAAGAACAGCGTACTGCACAAAACTGCCGGTAAGAAGTTCTGAATTTCTTATTCTTCATTTCATAGGAAAACTAATATATTCGAAAATCAGAGTATTTTTCACGCTTTACTTGCAATGAACCAAGTTATTTTGACTCGAGGACAATTACTTCATCACTTGCAGTTCTTAACAGAAGCAAAAAAAAATGTGTTAGGCTCCTCTGAACTATAACATGAAATGGTTAATCGTGTTGAGATATTTCCAAATCTCAAAATCTTCGCAGCAGCGTCTCTTAACCATTTTTTTTTTTATGACAATGCCTTCATTAATGCTAATTCAATACATTGATGCGACATTCAACTCCTTTAATCTGTAAAAACCAACAAAGTGGGATCAAAGGTCTGGTAATGGACGTGATCACCTTTAAGAGTACACGTCCTCACTGTATGATTTGCGAGTGCCGTACGTCCATTAGACAACAAAACCGCAACTGCATATCGAGAATATTATCAGGGAACAAACCTCTGGCATTGAAAGATTTAGATCATCGCTTATGGCAGATTGCGCAGGTGATGAATAGCCTGTCGGAAGACAAATACAATAGACTTTCTCACACAAGCACAAGGGAAAATTTTGGTTAACAAAGACAACTGATAGACCTCATTTTTCATTTCCAACTAAAATGACGGATCAAATTATTCTACAAAGCAGGCAAGGGGAAAAAATGGAAAAAAGAAGTAGAAGAAGAACTGGCGAAACATTAATCATTCCAATGCGGCAGTAGCACCAGCTGCCTTGAGCTTCTCAACAATTGCATCGGCCTCTTCTTTAGTAATTCCTTTTTTCACAACTACAGGGGCTTTTTCCACCAAATCTTTAGCCTCCTTTAAGCCCAAATCAGTAAACCCTCTAATCTCCTTAATAACTTTGATCTTTGCGGCGGCGTCAAATTTCTCGAGCTTCACGTCAAAAATGGTCTTTTCAGCAGCCTTGGCATCTGCAGAGGCTGAATCCGGCCCGGAAGCTGAAGCACCGGATGAAGTTACAACGCCAGAAACAGCAGGCCCGTATCGGTTTAGGCCCATTTTGTGCCTGAAGAGGATGGCATAGTCGTGCCTCTCGATCTTAGTGAGGTCCAGAAGCTCATCGGCGATGCGTTCGAGCTTTTGCGTTCGGGTTTCAGTGGCTGTGCAGAGGGCCCGCGTGAGTAATGGGTTGGGCTTTCGGGTAGTATTAGATTTCCTGGTAGTATTAGATTCTGGTAGTATCTGAGCAAATGCAAACATCAAAAAGCAGAAAGAAGATGCATCGACCTATGTACTTGTAAGACACTAAATTACACTTTAGGTTATAGAAATGACGAGCATGGAGAAGGTGGAAGGGTGAAAGAACACGCATAAGATGCAATTCAATGCTTTTAACTAGTCAAACCAACACTTGATAACAAACATGTATCTAAATATACTGATAAGGAGGTTATTCCCATATTATTGCCTTTATTTTTAGGTTTTTTTGGGAGGCGGGGGGTTTTCGAAGGAAGTTCATGGAGCGGGAGCTACCCTTGATGAGATATTTGTTAAATACAGGAACTATAATGCTGCAAATGAAAAAGGCCTTTCGTTTGGTAAAAGCATGCACTACTCATCAACCAAAGATAAAGCCAGTTACTATATTTGCATCCATTAGCTCATCATGTAAAGATATCATTCAGGTAAGCAGAAGTTTCACACCTTTAGCAATGGTTTATGACGCTTCTTAACCTGCAAATAAGAAGTCACGGAAACACAAAACATCAGACTACTAGCGAATTGACAGTTGACACCCAATATTGCAGAACAAAAAGGCTAAAAAGTAATGCCAGGAACTATTCAATTGTCCTGTAGTTCTGACTACCTTGTATATATCACATATCACCACTTTACAGATCCAATTAATCACTCAATTCTCTGAAACCTCAAACACAACATTTAAAAATCTAACTGCCTTTATTTTTCAAAACAGTTGTTACTTCTTAACACAATTTACTAGGAAAAGGTATAGACCATCATAAAAAGAGAGGGTTGTCCACATACCGTGTAATCCCAACCATGTCTTTGAGCAAATTCTATTGCAGCTTCTTCACTATCAAAACACGAAGCAGAATCACCTACATTGGCATATGGATCCCCCGTGGATGTCCAACCCATCAGTGGATTTTCCCATCTAGATATGACAGAAACAATACAAATTTGAATAAAGATCATCTTTATCATTCATCATACTCGGGAGCCATCCATGAAGAGGAAACTGCAGTGTTTCATAAAGGGGAATCAAGATTCAATGTGCAGTGATCAGTTAGTTAGTGGCCAAAGAGGTAAGTGTTTCCCATATCATAACAGAACAAGCACCACCTTTCCACATTCAGAAAGAAGGCATTACTACGCTAATTTTGTCTGATAAATGCAATAAACAAGAAACTATACTGAAGTTAAACTAGTAATGGTGCCAATGCACTAAGAAGCATGTCATTAGCTGCAAAGCTCAAAAACTATGTGGTAACTAAGACACAAGTTCAAAAGTGTCTAATTAGTAGAAGTACAGATCATCTGATATGTATCCGAAACTCTCTCCCTCCGCAACCAAAAAACAAAAAAACAAAAAAAAAAACCTCCCTTTTTTGCCCTTTTTGGTAAAAGGCTTTTTCTTAAAAATAAACAAAATGAAGATTGTTAATTGAAGTGTCAAGGCCCAAATTTTTAATAATCAGATAGAAGTTGGTGCACTCTGTTTTAAATTGGCAAATAAACTGCAATATATTTTACTAACGTCCTAGTCAGAACTGAACAACTATAGCACTGTGAAACCAGTAAATCAACTGAAACAAAATGTGCATTAGAGGTCACGTATCTGTCAAAACTTCCTTCAAACCCCCATAACAAACAAATAGAAAGGTACAGAAAATAAAACCTACTTCTGAGTAGACACGAAGTTGATCTTCCATTTTCCAACTTTTCCTGATCCTTGCTGACTCGCAGTTCGAGCTGGTGAATAAATCAGAACCTGCCATGAAATTATTGAACGTATTCTTTAAATTTTGGACTCCCAAATGAAAATAATGCCACAAACAATTACATTTATGAAAAGATAACTACTCCTTTTTTCCCTTATGCACCTTTAAATATTTAAAATGATTATGAGTTTATATTTCATAACCCACAGCCTGCAAGATTAAACTTTTAATGCATGAAAGAAACTTAGTCATATGATATCAACTATAGCAACAATAGAAGCTCTTTAATCAGTTTATACACAAAAATAAAGAAAATATTCAGTGGTCCACTGAAATCCCTAGCTCAGATATCGATTGAATTACTTTATTTTTCATTTAAAATTACCTCCATTAACTGACTATAACTGAAAAATAATTGGAGAAAAAAAAAACACGTTAACAGAAAAGAGTATACCCGTCTGCGAAGATGTTCTTCGGGGATGCCGGAGACCATGCCGATTTCTCCAGGTTTGGTCTCCACCAATGCGTCTGAGGCGAATGGTCTGGACAGTGGGGTCAGGAAAGATGGATAGGCTTGACGAGATCGCCTAGCGAGGCGTAGAAGGGAGCTCGCCATTTTTCCGATGCCGGAGGTTCCTATGTGGCCGGTGCAGGGATTGGCTGAATTTTTGGTGTATCAGATCAAAATGATACGCAAGAGCAGTGAGGGCGACAAAAGGGGAATAAGTGAAATTTTTTGGGAACTTATGTTTTGCATTGCATTTTTTGTTTGCCCCAAAGCGCAATTGAAAATTATGCTCCCCAGTAGTTGTAAATTTATGTTTAGCAGCTAGTAGTGATTTGTAACTGCGTTTGCTGATTTTTAGCTTCAAGGATGCTCGAGGAATGACTAAACACTCCCGTTTGACAAATGAGTTTTCTGAATGTTTATTTAAAATTTTACTGTAATTTATTGTAAAAATCGTTCTGTACCCGTTCAGTTCAGTTACTACCGCACTGCGCAACAATGTTGGGATACCAAAAAAATTATTCTTAATAGTAATATATTTTACTTGTATTATGTTTTCAGTCACTTTTTTAACTCTAACTCGCATACCTTGCATCGATGAACTCGTGAAAG